TTCAAGAATAAAATATTAAACAATCATGACCTAAACATATGGCATAAACATAAATAAGTAAATATTAAAAAAAGGAGCATTTTTAATTTAAAAGTTATCGATATATAGTGGTCAATAGTTAGATAATGGGTAAAAATGGTTCGCCAGTAAGCTTCCTTTCAGTTTTTTTCGTTGATTTCTTGTTTAGGCTTTTACCCTTGTGCACTGACTACTAAACCATCATGTGTAAAGGAGCAAGTGAGAGGATGAAAAAGAGTGAGAGATATGGCCGGAGAGTCCTTGCGTCGCCTGTATGCGTGTGTGTGTGTGATGCTCTCTCTTCAATCCCTGAGCCTTCTTTTTCTTCCTTTTCCCATCCTCCTTTGAAGGAGGCACTAAACATGATAATTTACGCAGCATGCCCAATACAGACACATACACACCAACACACTAACATACAGCGTTTGCAATACAGCAAGGTGGTGGAATTTTATGACAACAAAGGGCAATTCACTTGGTTCCCGGTTTGAAATTACATAGCTGGAAAATGCCGAACTCCGAATGCCCCCACCAAAGACCTATTAAAGTATATATCCCTATATCCCGTGGAGGGGGGTCGGAGTTAAAGGAGAACAACGAGGGAAAAGATCGCGTGAAGAGCGTGGAGGTAGCATAGCATACCACACCATACCGTAGCACACCATTTACCCCTGATCTCTGCGGGTGTCACGCTTCCACCTTCTTATCGGCTACGCTTGGGTTACAATAGGGGTATTTCAGGTTTTTCAAGAGAGGAAGGAAGCAGCTAGCTAAAAATCTGCTCTTGTAAGTAGTACGCGATAAAATATATCCTTTGAACCATGCTGAAAAATGAAAACTAATTCGCAAAATATTTGTGAAACCTTTTCTGTAAGGAATCTATCGTAATCGGCAATGTGTATGCAAAGATTTTTGAAAACTGGAGATTGGGTGGTTCGTAGAATGTGCGATTTACGAAATTTCCAAATTTACCAAATTTCTGAATGAAAAACTGGTGATAAAATGTGAATATAACAGAATTTCCATAATAAGTGCTTGTTTTAATTGTTTTATCGTGTAGAGCGTTCAACTTTGAACACTGGTTGTACAGTTTGATGTCTGCATTTTCATCGTCTCAGTTTTCCAGCCTGTCTGTCTGGGTCAGGCCCCCCTCTGACCCGCACTCCCCCCTTTTCCAATCCGCCCAACCACCCAACAACCGAGCCAACTCGTTTGGCCTTCGCTGCTGTTGCCGTTTCTGTTGTTGTTGCTGTTGGCCATCGTCGCGTCATATTGCGTCGCTTTTGTCGTCGGCGTCATCTGCTGCCTATTGCGTAAAGGCGCATACACACACAGCCACACACAGACTGAAACATACACAGAAACGCCGAAGCACAGACACCCCCGCAGACAAAAAGCCTAAACAGAAACACACGAACACACACACACACTCTGCCAAACACAGCCACACCTCAGCACACACCTCACCACACACACACACACACCCCCTTTTCGAGGCTTTTATAAATCAAAAAAAAAGAAAACGGAAAAGACTGCTTAGTTAGCTGGGGAAAAAGTTAAATTTAATAGTATTTACTTTAATGTGCATAAACGGATAATATTAAATAAGAAGCAATCAATGCCCAATACATTTTATCGTACTTTCAACTAGTATTTGCAAACCATTAAATTTCAATATTTTTTTCTTGTTAAAACATATATAAACAAGTAAAAAGGCCCCTTTAATGGGATTTTGCCTCGCGGTGCTCTCTTCCTCTCTTATTACGTTACGTTACTTGCCGCTGTGGTGAGTTTCTCTTGCTCTGGCACCTGCAGCCGCTGCAACATGTTGCTGCTGTCCGAGGTGAAAAATCAGAGACACGTAACGGGTAGCTACGCTATGCCCCTTACGTTACGTAACGCTGCGGGCAATGTTGGTTAAATAATTGAAAATACACCTTTAACGAATTTACTAAATCTACGATAATATTACCTTCTTAATATCTATTATACTTCATGTTTCTTACTTCAAATGCTACAATGCTGATGGATTTTTTGTTACACTTATTATAGTGCTATTAATTTTAAAGTAATCGTGTGGAAAAAGTGGCCCAACATTGGAGAATCATTAAATTTTGTTAAAATTGCAATAAATTCAATGTTTGGATTCGAGGGGGTTTTGTCTTTCGGCTATGGTTGTTTTTAGTTTCTTTTTCTTTCTTATTCGGTATCCATGCGAACGTGTGCGTGAGTGTTGAAAGTTGAGCGTTGCGTGCAACCGGAGCGATTGTTGTTGTTGCTGTTGCCGTTGCCGTTGCCGACGTGCCACGCCCCTTTCGCTGACCCAAATTCGCTTTTCGTGCCAGTCAGCCAGCCAGCCAACTAACCAAATCTTATCAATTCATCAATCATGCATGCAGTCATTAAACGCTCGCCTCGTTTAATGGAAGTTGTTTTTGTTGTTGTTGCCGGGGTTACCGCATCGCCACCGAATTCGCCGCAACTCGCTCGATCATTCTTCGCCTCTCTTTCCTTCGCCGCAACATGCAGCTGTGGTGAAAATTGTTTCAATAAAGTAATTTCGATTCATTTGTTTATTTTTCAATATATATATATTTATAATGGGATAACCTTACCATTAAAGTTGGCATGGAAATTGATATTAAATTCCACTTGTGCCAGTGTGACCGGTAAAACATAAATTGCAATTTCGAGTATAATAAGGTCATACTTTAGCATGCCCTTTTTAACGGTAAATAAAAAATGTCAATTGAATATGGTGAATATTGTAGCAACTTTTTCTTGCTTCTGCTAATGAAATTATCATAATCCGTTTTTAGTTCAAGAGCTTGACAATAACTGCTTTGAAAGCAACTGTTCAGCAGATAAAATATAGTCATTGTAAGCTATTTCGTAGTTTTGGATGCCGGCATCTCTTTGTGTTTTTTGACCAACTCTCTCATGGCAAAAGATATCTCTTCGTCTGGCTGTGATGAAGCATACAATTAAGTAATTTTGAACAACCGATCCCCTTTCTTCTTCTCCAGCCTTTGTGTGGCCCCTAGTGGTCGGCAAGGTTTTTCCCCCACCCAATAAGTGCACACCTTCCACTTTTACGTACATACATACCTCCCACCGCCCACCGCCCATTGCTCGATTTATGTTTTCGGATCAGCGTTTTATTCGTTTCTGTTGTGGCTTTACCACTTTGCGTTGCTAGCCAAAACAAATGCATCGCCATCTATATATAGGCCCGACATTGATTATAACTGAATGTGTAGACACACGTGTAAAATATATGTATGTATGTATGTATTGGGTTGCCATATGCCAGACAGATTTGCTGCGGTGCCGAAAAACTATGGTGGCAACTGTACTTTGCGGTGAAGGCAAGGCCAAAAGTGTAATAGAAATTACAGACCGATACAGATCAAACTTCTATAACTTCCACAAAAACGACCATTTCAATCAAATCCTCTATATGTACAAATTAAATATAGTTAGAAGTAAAATAGTTACTCAATGAAAAAGAATGTATTGTGTAATTCTTAAAGACGCAATCCGTAATCTACAAAGCCGTTGTTGCCATTTAGAAATTCAGCGTGCATTGCACATTCATACGAGAATGCAAATAATGGAAATACAATTCTCATTGCAGTTCATTCTCGACACCTTCTCGATTTCGGTTTCTCATATTTGCATTATAATCCAAGTAAATGGAATTAAACAAATAAGCGGCTGAATGTTGGTTTATTGTTTATTTGTTGTCTGCCTGTTGGCGTTTTGTTATAGCCGCTGGTGCTGCTACTGCTGTTTTTGTCTCTCTTAACACCTGCGAAATGCAATGCCCAAAAATTACAACAAAATAAATTAAATAAATAAAATAAAAAAAATAAAAAAAGAAAAGGAAAAGAAAACAATTGAAATTCAGCAACTGAAAAGTGTCAACAGCATTTAACTTTTGACTTTGTTTCACTCCGGCGACAGACAGACAACAACGACACAAAATCAGCCATTACAGTGCAAAAGTGAAACAAAAATGAAATAAAACAAAAACGAACAGAAAACAGAACGAAAAATGGAATGGAAATCAACTGGCCCCAATGCTTTTTGATTCAAAAGCAGCGGAGAAAAGGCAGCAAACTGGTAAAGTGCTTGAACTTTTAATTTCTTACCTGTGCGCCTTTAAATTCGCATTTAGCAAGAGTGTAGATTTTATAAGAAAATGGGGTAAAAGGCGTTTTGGGCAATAAGAATACACGGTATTTATAAGTAAGTGGGATTAAATTACTAAACACAATACAACTTACAAATTGCGCATACTGCATGTAGAAATCAATTCCTTTAATAATCGTGAATATTCATATTCAAATTTTGGAATTGTGTCCAATTAGCCAAAAACGTAAATCTTTTGTTGATTCTCCGAAAGAATCGACTCGCGAATGTCGCAAAAAAAGCGTAATTACGCATGCAAAAGTGCTGACAGCAGCAAATCAGCGCTTTCAAAAAATTCCCAACCCCTTCGTTTTGGAAATTGCACTTTTATTTTATGTAAAAGCGCTCTCGAAACTCTTTCTGGGCGAATAAACGGGGGGAACTGAGCTGATAAAACGCTAACAAACAAAATGCCAAATTAATTATATTATCCATTAAGAAGCCGATATTATCACAATTGTTAGCGTGTGTTTGTGTGTGTGTGACTGTACTGTAAGGCGATGAATCGAAAAAGTTAAAACAAACATTAATAATGGAGAAAGAGCACGGCGCACGCCTTTTGTTATTTGAATAAGCTTGAATCGTCAGCTTTTTCCGCTTGTCTTCTTTATTTTCTCAACTTCTTTATTTTGGAATTGCTTGGCTTTTTGAAGTCGATCTTCTGATTGTTCGCTTATTGTTTTCGATGTTTAGATGATCCCTGCTGTACCCCAAAATACCGTTTATTGATATAATGATAATATCGGCAGCACCCTTCTAATGGACACGATTACTCTTCTTTTTTGCAGGGAACTGCAGGATGGCACGCTCAGAGATCACAACTTGATGGACGGGTCCAAGATTATTTTGATACCAAACGTGGAAACTGGTTTATTGGTAAGTCGACCGCAACCAATAAAGCAACTACTAAATAAGTGAAATTCGAATAACGAGGCGATTGAATTTAATGTTGTTGCATATAAATGCAATTTTATGAACACCCCTCTAATTATCCAATATATCATTTTAAAATATATTAAAGTGTAATTTTGCCAAGCGCTTCGTTTTTAAAGTAAATATTTTAACATTTTAACAAATATTTTTAAAATTCCCTGAGTTATGGAGAAAGTACAGCTTAAACACGATTCGGAATCAAGTTAATCGAAGTGTCAATTTAAAAGTCAAGCCTGTAACCCTGACCCCAATTTAAAGCCCGAATCAAGTCCGCTTTTTGATACACTCTCTTTTCTAACCGCAGTCTTATTCAATTCAAAAATGAAAAATGAATATGGAGAGATTAGATATTATTTACCTGAGGAATTTTAATCATTTCGCCCCCCAGCCAAAGTGACTGTGACTAATTCGACTAATTCCGTTTCTCATTCGAATTCTGTTGATTATTGTTCATCGTTTTCTTGTTGCTTCGGCTGATCGTCATTTGTCGTTGCCAAAGTTGTTTGGCATTAATGAATTTAAATTTATTTACATATTTATTTTATTACACACTCACACACATTTTTCGGTTTGCTCTCCGTCCAACTGGTTTAGCCTACCCCGATTGCCTTTCACGGGCGTGTTCACTTTAAGGGGGACTCACTGTACTTTTATTTCGGTCATAAAAGACATATTCCCAAAGGATACACATTTGAATTTTCAACTCGTGTGCACTGGGGTTATTGAAAAACATATCGCCCTGTTTTGCTTTATTTTACCTTCAATTTATGCTTCGAATACCGAATCCTCTTTTGTGGTCGATTGATGTTGGAGTTGACGATCGCTTGACGATCGGCATGACAATCATTTTGTATCTTTCACCAAATTTGCTCAGCTTTTTAGCTCTCTCCGTCCTCCTCCTCCTCCTCCTTGTTTTTGGTCATTGTGTTCGAGGTTTGAAGGTTTTGGTTTCATTATTTTCGGTTTTCTTTTTTGGTTTTTGTCGGTCAATGTACAGTGCGTGTTTTTAATGAGAAAGTTTTAGCCAATTTTAATTTAAACGCCAGCGCAATCTAAAGGTCAAGTTTGCATTTGTATGCACACCTGAGTTGGTATTAACACAGGGATTGGAACTGCCTACACTGCGGGGTAGAAAAATAGTTATAATAGTCTTGAAAATATATTCACATTTTTTGTATCCTCTTAGGACTTTATGTACGAAACTAGTTACAAAAAGAGATTTATAAGAAAAGATAGTTATCTCATTTAGTTTTACGCTGAATATTAGTTCTCGTCTCTCCGCTTTTACTGTGGTGTTGTATACAATTTTGTGCTTTTTATGCCATGCTCTTTTTGCGGCTTTGCCTCCGTTTGATTTACTGTTTACCGTTTGAGTTATGAGCCGGGATTACTTTTTTTTTTAACCTGATTCAGGTAACTCGCACTCTCCTCTCCACACGGTATTACCAATCTCTTTGTTTGCAAATCCCGCGCGTGACACCGCTGTGGGCATTGCAACATGGTGCCGCAGCAACAGGTTGCTTGTCCCCACACCATTTGCAACATTGTCGATGCGCTCATTCGGCAAATACGCTATTAAATTGAACGCTTCACTTGGATACGGTGTTGCATCGAGTTTTTTGTTTCAGTCTTTATGATTTGATTGTTCATTCGATTCGGATTGGATTGAATTGTATCATTCAAGCCTTTGCTAGAATTTCGGTGTTTCCTTTTAATTATAACATTTTCGTTTAGTTAGTCTGCTTTTCCGCTTTGCGGTGACACCAATTCGCCAGGTTAGGCAATCTGGCCAACAGTGGCACATAACGTTTATATCAATATTAGCGTAGCTGCTCCATTTCAAACTCTCTCTCGTCTTATTGAATAACATATGTGCATGTTGTGTCGTATTGCTGTTTTTCCCCAGCTTTTCCATTGTCTCAATGGCTTTTCACATGAAATTGGTTCAAGTTGCGCATGTGGAAAAGGTATAAACATGACGACAGGGATAACTTGTTAACATGTTAAAGTCTGGACTCAAATTTTGTCACTTGGTTGTGAGAAAACAGTTACTTGAATTTACAAGGGCTTGGAACTGAAAAATTGAATTGAAGTAGAAATGTTTAAAATACCCTTTTTCGTGCGCTTCGTGTTTGTACATACGTAACATTGACGGACATTTGTTAGCCATTTTTATTGCATTTCGTATTGCATTCAAAACACACGCGCTTATAAAAGTTCATGCAATTTTTGGTGATGTGAACAAAGAAATATTTTGGCGTGCCTGAGAAACCCATAAAAATATCAAAAAAAGCAAACGTAATGCACAACCTAAATTTACATATACTTATATTCGAATATTCTTTTGTATGTATACGCATTTGAACAAATGGGGGGCAATACATAATACTTTTACAACTGGTTCATAACTTTATAAATTTTTTAACAGATTTAAAGCATAAATACTTTAATATTAAAAGCTTGCGCTTTAGGGCTGTTCTCTGGCCAGCAAATTTTGTAAATAAAAACATTTTTTTGGCCCTAATAATGCTGCACATTTTTTGAAACATTAAAGTCAACTAGACAAGAATGCTTCCAAGAAAGCCAAGAAATTAAAAGTCGGGTCTTTCTTTGTCTCACTTGGTGAAAAAAGTCAATAAAAATGCTGATTAAAATGTATTTGCAAAACAAAATGAAATTGCAATGTACGTAGTAAAAAATGTTTAAATAGCCAATTAACAATTTGCGTCTCTTTTGCATTTCAACTTTTTTTCCGTTGTTTTGTTAATTTTATTTTTGTTTTTGGCAATGGCTTTTGTTGTTTGTCGTGCAAATTTACGAAATAAATAACACTGCGAGGGATGAAGGAACTGCAATTAGAGGGGTCGGTATGTCGATTTGCCAAAACTCCAGAAAGGTGTGATACCCCCACACTGAGAGAAAAACTAAAGCTAACCTTTGGCCTGCACATAAATCTTCAGACACGGTTTCTCTGACTGAAGTATTAAGTTTCTGGAAACCACTTATGCGAATTTCGAAATACGAAAATTATCCACAACTAAACACTGAAAATAGTTGTTTACTTCTAATGGGGTTTCATTCTGAAGTTTGGATTAATTTTTTCTCTGCGAGGGGAATTTTGTGTGTTATTATGTGAAAGGAGTGCCTGCAGGAGCATTGTATTCCCATTCTATGCCCCTCAGCGATTTCGCTGTCCAGAATCTATATATCTCTGTTCTCTGACTCACGATGCTTCAGTATTGTATTTTATTTCACTTTTTGCCACCTCATGCCATTGCCTCCTAATTAGCAACACAGAGTAGCCGAAAGCCAGAGGCAAAGTAAACCGAAACATTGCAATTCGGTGGCGAGTGCTTGTCAACCTGGACAGGTGTTGTTGTACCTCCTGGCCCCCTGGCCCCCTGGAATCCTCCCCCTTCGGCCCACACGCTGGGCTAAATGTGTGTTAACAAGTGACAGGTTGATTTGATGGAGACATCTCTCGATTTATTGACACCACTGACTGAATGGCCGGGTGAGTAAGCCAGCAAGGTGACCGATCTTGCCTGCCTGGGTCACCCAAGTCGTCCGTGCACATATCACTCTGAATCTTACGCTCAATTCCATCTAAGCAAGAATAATGCAAAGTTATTTGCCAATTAGCTGGGGATCAGGATAGCACACAGCCTAAATATATATTCATACCCATTTGTCTGCCGCGACATATTGCATATTGCTCCAATTTTATCTTGACACATCGCAGACAGCCAGAAATTCAGCTGCTATTAGCAGGAATAATATTCTGTAAAGTTTATTATAGCAACGGGCGAAGCGAAGGCATGTACATATGTACTCGGTCATTTGGGGAACATGTATTAAATATATACATATGCAGTCTATATGTCTCCGGATGGAGAGATGTGTGGAATCAGCGACACTTTCGATTTTCATTGCTGGCTCCGGATGGGAATCATGTGTTTGCAAATGTTTTGACAATTGGCAAACAAGCTTTGCTAGTTCCTAAGAATACGCCTAATAGTGTGTTGAAATATCCTTTGGAAGCGTCACATCGATTTTCAGTCATACTTTAATGATATCCCCGTGGCAAACTGTTTTTTCGACAGCTCAATCATAATCCTCGCATATTTGTGTAATTCCTTTATTCTTCGTATGTTTTCTGCACCCTGGGGGCCACCTTTTGTGGTTTTTGTCATTATTTTCGATTTCGTTGCCAAGAGAAATCGTTGAAATCAACGACAAACAAAAGTCATCAGCAGTAAATGCACAGAGGAAAAATCATGGGCAAGTATTCGCGAAGTAGAATTAATACACGTATGTGACATAGTTGTTCACATTTTTCAGTATGTTATTAAACTAATTTACAGTTCTGATCAATTATTTATTCAAAGTTTGATTTAATGCTCCAATTTGAAAGTTTTTTCTGCATTATGACTAGAAACGATATGTAGCAAACAGTCAAGTTGATTAAAAATGTGTCACTGGCTGTCCGTCGTATTCCATGTATACTGTATACAGTATACAGTATACTATATGGAACGCAGATCTGGCAGCAGTGACAATCAAGTGGGTGGGCGTTGTCAGTTCCACCGTGCACCATGACCGACTGTGGCAGGGAAGGAGAAATCAGAGGGGATTCCCCCAGCAACCTCCCATCCCCCAGAAAAACAGAAACACCCACCAGAACGACTCATCCCGAGTGGTTTCATGTCATTTCGTTTCGTTTCGTTTCGTTTTAATATTTATGTCGCTTAAATGATGCGCTGGCGTTTTCCTGTCAAATTAATTGCATTTGCTTTTTTCTTTCGGACTCGGGACTTCTTTTTGGCAATCCTCTGCCGTGATGGTCAGCGGGCAAAAAGACGGTGGGTGGTGGTAGTGAAGGCTGCATAGATTTATGAAAATGATTTTAATTGCAAGTCGTCGCATAACAACGAGCCAAAAGACAAAAGCGAGCGGCAAACAAAGGGCGAGCGATGATAACACGTCGGGTTGTGGAGGATGTGGGGATGGGGCATGGTATCTGGTGGATCGAGGATGGTAATGATGATGCCAATGCCAATGCCGATGATGATGATGATGATGATGGCGATGGTAATGGGGGACGACACGTAGATGAAGCAGATGCAGCAGACAAAGTAACAAAGATGCGAAACCTCATAAAAAGCCAAAAAATGATATGGTTATATATCAGGAGAAGAACAGCCAGCCAAAATGATGACAACAATATGAACTGCTGGTTGGTTGCCCAGTGCACTGGGTGTGACCACTCGAATTTATGCGTCCTTTGTATGTTTGGCCACCAAAAGAACCAGAAAAAAAGAAGAAATAAAGAGAACAGAAAAACAAACCAATCTGCCAAAAAAGAAAGGAACAGAATATGCCCAGAATATGGCCAGAAGAGAAAGAAACGGAAAACGGCAATGGAAGTGCTCAAGAATGAGCAACAGATGCCAAAGAAGCCATGGTGCAGGTTATTAACCAGTTCTATTCGTCTTTGTCTGGGCAACTTCGCCCAGCCAACCCAATCCTATCCCAGTCTATCTGTCTTTCTCCCATGAATTCGGAGAACTTATATCGAAACACACTTGACTCTGTGGAATGCGCAGTGCTATCGGGAATGCTGGATGCCTCATTGTCGAGACTTAGCATTTATCGGTGTTCTTATACAGATGATCATCATTAAGAGTGGCGTCTCGGTGGATAACTCGTTATAGAGCGGCAAGAACTTCTGAACTTCTGAGCTTCTTTCAGCAGAGATCTGGTGCAAATGTAATATATCACACCATTTAACAGATGGCTACGCCCATACGTTCATTACTAAGTATCAAACTACAATATTCTCTATCTGAATTCCAAAAACTGCTCATTAATTACCGTTGCCATCGCATCAACCTGTGTGCCTCGTGCGATATCATCAACACCGCTGCCAAACACCTTCATCTCCGATCCGAAACATCTGCATCCATCCCGTCCAGCATAAGGATTACATACTCACCTTGCTTGCCGGCTTTCCTGATCCCAGTTATCATATACTTGAAGATCGCGATGTGTCAACAAGTGGGCGCATTGCATTCTTTTTCATAACTTAACGGAGTGAACGGAAACACAAGAACTTAAGCTTATTCACTTAAGTTCCGTGAATCCGGTTTATCTTCTTTTGCGGATAACAGTTACGGTTAACAGGGCTGTTAAAAGTGAAACGGAAGTGACTGACATACATGTGTATGTATGTATCTTTAAAAAAGAAATCTGTTCATTGCGAGCGAATTCCGATTGCTAAAAAAAGTGAAAAATTCCATTGATAACATTCCCAAAGTGATTTACCTCTTCCCCACGTTGCGCAGATATACGAGTATTATATTCATTTATATGTGTATACTCATTTATATTTATCGTTTCTGTGAATCGATTGGCAATTCCAAAGCTGCTTTTTTTGTTTGCATTTACAAATGGGTATTATTAGTTTCGCTTTAATTGCCATTGGGCATGAGTAATAATTGGCTAAGGAAATCACCTGCCTTTGTTGTTTAGCGGATTTCTTGATTGCAATCTCCTCTAATCGAACTAAAGAAATATTTGCACTTGGCGCCCCGTAAGTTGTTTACAGTGAAACTTTGATTAAAACTATTGTACAGTGCGAGAAATGCAGTTCACCAAGTGCTCTTAAATATTTGATAACAATGGGCTGAGGGGAAGTCGCTGGCCCTTTCGCCAAACAAAGAGAAACTATGTGGGATTCCACATACTTAGGACCGATCGTGTGCATTACATGCACATTTTGCAAGCCTGAAACAAAAGCGCGACAATTGGCCATTGTATAGTATCTGCCTTTCGATAGCTCAATTTTAAAGCCAAACCACTTGGCAAGAGTCATAAAACGGGTTACGTGGTCAGGTCCAGTGCTTGGATTGGCAATAATGTCGCCTCCAGATAATGGAGGCGGCAAATAGGGCGTCATCGCCTGGCGCCGGTCGCTTTCTTTGTCTTTGTTTCCCGCCGGCACTGCACTGCAATAAAAACTAGTGCCCTTGCGTAGGTGAGTGTGTGCCTATCCGCCTGCAATGGGTCTCAGTTCTCGCGGTTATCAGTTTGGCCAAATTAATTTGTAACACATTGTCAAGTGCTTTCCCGAGGGGGAGGGGAGTGGGGGGCGGTGGGAGCGGTCCACTCACATGCGAAACTTCCATTGAAAAGGCTACGCAATAAAAATAATTTCATGGTCAGCAAACAAGCACACAAACACACACACATACACACACACACACTCATGCAAAGATAGCCAGCGCAAAACTAACGCAAAAAATTGCTTTGTCCCAAAAATGAACAAATATTGTTGTTTTCTTTGTATAGTAAGTACTTGGTTTTTTTCAAGTGCGCATTGCTCCCGCTTGTAAAAAAAGATGAAAAGGTTGTTGGGAAAACTTTAACGCTGGGATTCTTAGCAACATTAACGTTTATACTAGTTTTTCAACTAGTTTTTAGTTGAAAAACATTTTTATAACGAATTGTAAATCATGCAGCTAATTATGTAGATATAAAATAGAAAGTTTCAACAGGAAATTCTTAGATTCCTAATTACACTTTACAAAACACCAGATAATAAGAACCGATATCAAGTTAATATGAAATTAAATGGTATAGAAATACAACTAGAAAAATAGAAAAATACTTCAACTGCCTTTTGCATTTGGTATGCGATACAAATTTAGGGCTCCGATTATGATGTATTAGTTACTTTTTGGGCTGCAAGCCACCGAAAACCGGTTGACCAAAAAGCGTTTTCCCCGGCAACCAAGGAAAAAATCAACGACAGAAAAAAAAGAGTCAATTTGCACAAAGTTAATAAATTACAGCATTGACTGCCTTTGTTGCGCTTTTTGTTGTTGCTGCCGCTGCTGCTGCTGCTGCTGCTGCTGCTGCTGCTGCTTTTTGGTGTTGCTCTTGGGTTAAATTTTTGAAAATTTCGATTTCGCTGCGACTGGTGACGTAAGCTGCGTGCGACGTCAGTTGACCTTGGTACACTTAACTCAACTCAAAAGCAGCAACATCATGAGCCATGAGTAACAAACCAACCACGTCAACAAATAGGCTCGACCCCAGGTATTCGTTTGCCTCCATTTCTTTTACACACTTTTTGGCTCGGTTGCTAGGCTGGGTTTTTATTTTTGGTTTTCTCTGTTTTTTTTTTTTTGGGAGGGAAAATTGGCGAGGTTGCATAAGGTTCAGACTGCGTCAAATGGCAAAGGGAAAGTAGGCAGCGCCACCATCATCATCATGACCATCTCGTCGGTATCCATCCATCCATCCATCCACAGTTCAGTTCAGTTCATTTAACATACGGCTAAAAACTGAAACTGAAGCGAGCTTTTGTCGCTGACTTCATTTGAATATTATTGGGTCACTGTGTCAGAGCAGCAGAGTCAATAAAAATTAAAACATGACCCCCTGCAACAACAGCAACCCCCCTCCTCCATTCGCACAAGTGCTTACTCACATGCTGGCCACAAACAGTTGTGGTCAGCAGAATAGAGACAGACTTATCCCAAGTCCACAGTGACAGTGAATAAGATCTTCGGTCCGGGAAAAGTTGAGAAATAATGTGCTGCATTTATTTTTTAAATTTGAATGGGCTATAATTTGCGGTAAATGGCATTTGCACGAACTAGTTGCTTGGCCGCAATTGCACGTGCATATGCAATGGAAATGATTAATTAACCCAGACCCAGACCTTTAAAAAGCAAAAATCAAACTTGGGACCGAGTCTTACAGTATATGCCTACAGTATATATACTCGTATATACTGCCTTTTGTTTGCTGCTCTTCATTTTTCACAATTACTTTTAGTAGTTTTGTTCTTGGAAAACCCTTTTTCAATCCTACATTTCCATTCTGAATCGCAACTTAAGGCGTGGACATCCGCGCCTGGTTGGTTATTTGTACTTTTTGCAAATATTTGAGAGGCGCACAAAGGCGTCGCATTGAATCACGTAGAATAGCAATCCAAACCAGAAGTGCTACGTTCTGAAAAAAGGGGGTTTGTGAATAGTTGGTCTAGGTCGATAAAGGAAAGGGAATGACGAGGTCTTATGCTCATCTGATTGGAATGCGGCATTTCTTTGTGCGACTTATATATAGTTACGTACTATGCGTATTATAAATAAATTAGTAATCTTTGACCGAGACTGAACCAGTAGGTTTTTTGCTTTTCTATTTAATGCTCAATAAATCCCTTACTTATCGATCCTTTTACTTATAAATCCTAATTTCTTATCCTTTCACAGGCTCAACGTCCGGAGAACACGGTTATGCAAGCGCTGGAATCGCTTAACGACGCGCAGGTTAATGATTTCCTTAGCGGCAAGACTCCTCTCAACTTGAGCATGCGCCTCGGCGACCACATGATGCTCATCCAGCTGCAGCTGAGCACGGTTAATCCGGCGGGCGGTGGTGCCGCCGCAGTGGCCCCAGTCGCCGGTGGTGCGAGTGGCTCGAGCACCAACACAGCGGCCACCACAACATCAACGATGCCTGTAATGCCAGCTGGCACTGGCTGCTCCGGCTCCGGCTCCGGCTCCAGCTCCAACTCCCACTCCACATCCACATCCTCGTCTTCGTCGGCGGTGCTGGCGACGGCCGGAGGAAGCGGCAGCACAGGAGCTAGTGGCTCCGCCACTTCCTTATCCTCATCCTCAGCCTCATCGTCATCCTCCTCGTCTTCGTCGAGAACCCGCTCTTCTGGCCAGCGATCGAGTGGAAGAATCGGACATGGCCACGTGCACAGCCACCAGCATCCCAGTTTGCATGCTGCGAACTGGCACGGCATTAGTCACGGACATGGACATGGTCATAGCCATGGGCACGGGCACGGGCATGGCCATCACCATCATCATCATCACCACCACCATCACCACCATCACAACGCTTCGGCAGTGGCTGCGGGCAGCGGTGGTGGGATGTCCTCGCTGCGCAAGATGTACGGCGATTTGCCCAGCTCCTCTGGAGCATCTGGCTCTGCTCCAGCAACTGGCACTGGTCAGGCCCAGAGCTCGTCAACGCTAAACGGGCCCGATCTCACCAAGCTGCTAATTAAGGGCGGCATTCAGAATATCGTGAACAGCTTCGCTATGAAGGATGCGGGCGCCAATGCTCGTCCTGTGGCCAATGGCGGATCCGGCTCGAGTCCAGGGAAGCCTGTGCTAGAGCAGTCGCCCATCAAGTCGCTGTCGAATCTCGTGTCCAGTCCCATCAAGATGACGACTATTAAAAACATTCCCCTGCCCACGACGGCTGCCACAAGTTCCACGTCGAGCTGCATCTGCAGCTCAGCCGCCTCCAGCTCATCCGCGTCCTCTTCCAGTGGAGCCTGCGCCACCGGCGGCTGTCAGCAGGATCCGATAGCCGCCAAGCTGACCTCGTGCTTGTGCACGCGCCTACCCACACCGTCAGTGGCTCCTCCGGTGGCCTCTTTGGTGGCGCCCGCTCCCCTGGCCAGATCCGGATCTGCCAGCTCACCTAGCAAGTGTCCCGAATCGAGTTGCAGTGGAGCGAATGCCGGATTTGCCGCTCGTTCGACAGTTGCGGGCACAAGAGTCACCTTCTCCGGCAATTCGATGCTGCACAAGACGGGCAACAATCGCATCACTAGGACCAAGCATCGTCACTACCACGGGCATGGCCATGGTCACGGACATGGAAATGGTCACAGCAGTAGCAACAGCAGCAGCCACTTCTTCAATCACGCCTGCGCCGGCAACCAGTCATCGGTTAACGCAGCCGCCTTTGCCACAAGCTCATCATCGTCTTCCTCGGCTCCGTCATCTTCCTCCTCGTCCCCCTCGAAGCGTCGCAAGCTGGAGCAGGGCATGGGAGCAGGAGCGGTAGGAGCAACTGCAACAACCACAACAGCAGCGGCAACGGTGGCACTGCCAGCCAGCACCAGCACCACAGCCGCAGAAGCCGACGACTCACTGCTAGGTGTGTCGGACACTAGAACTCTCGCTGAGGCATCGCGAAATCTCACCCAGACATTGCGCAAACTCTCCAAGGAGGTGTTCACCAACAAGATCGATCTGTCCGGCGCCGGCGTGATGAGCAGCGGTCGCGCCTCTAGCAGCGGTGCCACCTCGAGCGGAGCAGCCAGTGGTGAGGAAGCACCGCGCAAGGGCGGATCGGGAGCCGTGATCGAGTCTATGAAGAACCACGGCAAGGGCATCTACTCTGGCACCTTCTCTGGCACCCTCAATCCGGCACTACAGGATCGCTTTGGACGACCCAAGCGCGACATCTCAACGGTGATCCATATTCTTAACGATCTGTTGAGTGCCACACCGCAATATGGACGCGGTGCCCGCATTAGCTTTGAGGCCCCGACCACTGGATCGGTTTCTGGATTTAGTTCGGGATCCGGCAGCAATGGATCGTCCACGACTACTTCCTCCAGCAGCGGGATGCACCACGGATCGCGCAGCAAAATGGTAAGCTAATCTAGTGTACAATATGTTGCGATGCTCATTATCCACTTTCTTGCAGTACTCCTCCAAGCACCACAACTGCGCCAAATGCAACAGCCGCGCCCAGCAGCAACAACAGCAGTCGGCGGCTTTGGCCTCTGGTAGCGGAGGAGGTAGCTGCTCTTTCCGCGACTGCCCGAGCTACCACTCCTCCTCCGCAGCCTCCAAGGCTTCCGCCAGCACCAAGTCTTCGTCGCACAGTTGCTGCCAGGCTGCTGAGGCAGCCAGCTCTATGGTCAGTCAAGCCAATGGTTGCACATGTCGCTACCGCCGCGATGATGGCCAGGGCGAGCGGGAGCGGGAGCACACGTGCCAGAAGTGCACCGTGGAGCTGGCCAACATGAAGACCCGCTCGAAAATGGACCAGCTCCGCTTGGTGATGCAGCAGCACAAGCAAAAGCGGGAGGCGCGCAAACTGAAAAGTGGTCCCTATGCCACGCCCGCCTCCGCCTCTGCGGCCGATAGCCTCTCCTCAACCGCCGCTGGCGGAACAGCCGCTGTTTCAATGGGCGCGGCCGCACAGTACAGTGCTGTGAGCGCCCTGGTGGCCACGCCCCTACAACCAGCCGCTGTGCCCGTCCAGACGGGGAAGGCTGCGGCAGCGAACAGCATCACTGGCAACAGCAGCAACACCAATGCTAACGGCAATACTTCAACGGCACCTGCAACAGCAGCAACGGCAGCACCAGCACCAACAGCAGCACCGCCCAGCGAAGTCTCCCCGAACCACATTGTGGAGGAGGTGGATACGGCGGCCTAAAGGCAGAAGCATCATCAGCTAGAGCCACCACCAGCCCCGCTGACCTTATCCTATTTTGTAGCATTTACTAGTTTACGCAGCAGCAACAAAGAACGAAGAGCAGACAAAAGATGAAGATGATGCAGGACCAGTAGAAGCAGATGATGGGCAAACAAGAGAAACTAGAACCACAACTAAAGCTTAAATTAATCTAGAGTTAGTGCATAACAACACCAATTCTTCTGTTCGAACACCCGCTCGTTGGGTTATCCCACCTCCACGACGAGGCACAATGAGAACGGGAGCGCCCGGAAAGTCGATAAGCTGTTAAATTAATTTTAAGACCCTAAAACACACCCACTTCGGTGCGAGCCAATATTTTTTTGGGAGCAAATGAAGTGTATGAACCAGCTTCTGGAGGCGAAATCCTTTAATGTTTTGTAAATTAAATTTAGTGAAATTTATTGTGTGCATCCCAGGCAAACGCTATGTTGTGCAATTCACAATTTGAATCGTGAGCAACCACCAGCGTGAACGGAAATAGAAAAGTATGAAAGAAAAGGAATTCTTATATGGAAATGTTTAATATAGAACTAAATGTAAAACGTATACACACAGACTATGCTGAATGATTTGTAAGCCAAAGCGGTGACGAATTTTGGTAGACTAAAATGGAATTATATTTCGTTTTAGACGCACCAAATCAAATCTAATAACACACACGATCACACACACACACCTGGCTTTGGCAGCTTTATGTTATGTTTAACTTTAACGAGCGACGGCTGGCTGAATGAAAATCTGCACCTGCGATTGCGATGTGGCGCTTTAACCTAATTTGCCTTAATAGAAAATCGTTTTTCACCTATTTTTTTTTATATATACTTTATCACCAAGAATGTGTTTCGAATCGCGCCGGTAAGGACGAGCGACGAATTGAATTTTGTTCACCTACACCTATACTATTGAATTAGTTAGTAAGACTATGTTTTCTATTCATTTTACAATTATCATTACACGTTTAATTATCGATTGGATAAGTTAAGTTGCGCAACAGAAGCGTCTGAGAAGCAGAAAGTAACGCTAACTTAGCTGTATAGATTTAATTTAAGCCCACGCAATTACTTTTTTTGTCCTACACTTACTATTATTACCCAATTCAACAAATGCAATTAGATCTAGGCGAGTTTAACTTTTGAACTTTTGAGTTGGTTTCATTTGTCTTTGCCTCGTGTGCACCACAACTACTTGATTTCAATAAATGTTTAGTAAATGGTTTAGTTAACTAATTTTCGTTGCTTTTATTTCGTTGGTTTTTGGTTGTCACATTTATTTCAGCTTTTTTTCGGGCTGCGTCTTGTGCAATAAAACATATAGACAAAAAACACTCGTAAACGAATAAGAGAACGAATGAGCAAGTGAACATCAAGTATTTTGATTTGATTGACTCTTTTTAGAAATGATGTGCCAATTGCAAATACAAATACATGTGCGTATATATGTGGAACCCTAGTAAGAATTGTAAATTATATAAATATATATATGAATATATCCTCTTCTCCCACACACACACACACACACACACACACTTGTCACGCGATGAGTCTCTAACTAATAAAACATTTTATCTAAGAAAATCCCAACATCGTGCACATTTAACATGTGTTTGTAAGTCGTAGCTATTTAGTGCTAAGTCGAATTATGTGCAATTTATACAAACATTCGTTTATGTTTCTATAGTTTTCCCTCTAACACCCTACGTATCTATCTATGCATAAAGCTTTCCATCTATATCTATATACGAATTCGGTAGTTATGATAGCATTAGGAGACACATATGTAAGTTCGATGTACGATAACAAACATAGGATTAGGCTTACGAGGGCACCAGAGGCAGGATATATGTATGTATATGGATAAGGAAGGAGAAATTAAGGATCATTGGAATGTGGGAGTGGCATGACGGAGGAACGCTGAGATAGGACACGGATGATTATATTGGGTGGCTTTGTAAGGGCATTACTTTGGTTCAGATGGGATTTCGGTTAGATTGATTGATTCGGACTCGGTTGGATAATTTCAGCATATCTGCGTGATTTTCTAACAAGTACAAAAACACAAACGATGAGATTTTTTACATATATAATATAGTTCAAATATTTACACGCCCACAATTCACTCGATAAGAAATTGAACCCAAAACATATGCGCAACATTTGCTGAAAACGAAAAACACACAAACAAATATAAGATCTATGTGAAAAACAAATTTTGAATTGTAAACTAAATTAAATTTTTGTCGCATTTATTTTGAATAGTTCAAATTTATCCAAGAAAGTCCCATGCCCAAAAAAAAAAAATCGTAGATTTACTCACAATAATATAAAGACATACACATATATTTTGGAATCGACATTTTGCATCTTTTTTGTTGACATCTTCTAAATCTAAAAAAGAGATTATTATCAAAGCAAAATTAATGAAATTAGCTAAATTATTACAGGCCCTTGAGCTGAGTAACAGTTGAAAACATCTAACTGCAAAAATTTAAATGTTTCTCCAGTCACGTTCCCCGCAAACTTAAAAAAAAAAAACAAAGCGAAAAATGTATAAAAACGATGTAGAAGATCCGAATATTGGAGTAAAGTTCATATATTAACCAATAGGACTTAAGTGGGTTCGGATCGAACGAACTTAGATCAATTTTAATGCAAGCTTCTTCAGAACTTTATGACAACCAAAAGATTTATGTCTCTATCTCCGAAATTGGAACTATAAAAGCCGATATAAAAGCGTCATCAAAAGTTTGAAATCAAGCAGAGCTGCATGTAATAAATATCGATGGCGAAAATGAATTCAGTGGAAATGCCGACATTTTTTTTTTGGAAAGTGCACATTAACACACGCAAATAAAAAAAGAGCGTACGAATAAGACGCAACTTTAATGTGAAACTTGTTCGCCATATGAAATCCAATTTTTATTGTTGTGTGTACTGATTAAATGACCGTGAACATATTACTTATATACATGAATATATATATAGATGCATATACATATAGCTATACACACTTTGCCATAGCCAAAAACTGGAAGAATAAACTTGAACTAGAAGTTGGGAATCAATTTCATACAATTGCATGTATAAAATGATACAAAGTAAGCAAATGAAACAATGCAAGTAAAAGTATTCGTCAATAAACATTATTTCCAAACACAGTAACCGAAAGGTAATAGGCCTATTAATGGGACTCATATTGTTTTGGATTACATGTTCAACGTAAGTTTACATATTGCTTAAGTATTTGACGCAGTGAGTAAGTGGGTCACCGTGGATGGTAGTCAACTTGGTGACGAAACGCACGCATGGGAGTGATTGCAATGTCCTTAATTAAACGATTAAATGTCCATGCATTATTTGAACCTCCAACATAACCTGAAATTCAAACAAAAATAAAACGAAGGTATTTTTTCCCATTTTCTGTTTATTATGCTCAATTTTTGGTTTTATATTTTTGTTACGCATGTGATTATATATTCTTTTATTTATCCATTTTGTTTTCGGTTGTTTTTTGGGTTTAGTTCGCTTTTACAAATATTCATCGCTATGATCGATCTTATATAATTTCTATGCAATTAGCCCGTTTTAATAAATATTTAATATATTCATTAAATTTGTAATGCAGTTTCACATTCCATATAAATAATGTACACCAAAAAAAAAAAAACAATTCATTAAATATTAGTTGTTGTATGCATTTGTGTTGGTTTCCCTTCATCTCTTTGGTTTGCTGAAGCAGTTTTAATGTTTATGTGTTTTATACTTTTTTGTATAATAATTTGGTTTTTTTTTTGTGGTTTTTGGTGGGCGTGGGCGCGGCCCTTGCCAAGCAGCGGAAATGAGGCCAAATAGTCATTCAATTCACAAACATCAAGCAAATGCCCCGGTACAGTTATATAATTAAATCATACTCGTAGTTAATAATAGTTTTTTAGTGACTGCTGTTGCCGGTTGCTCGTGGATTGCGATTGGGGCCAAATAGCGAGTATTTTACACATACATATACACACAAAGAAATGCAATTCTCCCTTCTGTCTGGCTGTCTGCCTGTCTCTATAGCTGTCCCTATCTCTGTTCCTGTTGCCATCTCTTTCCGTTCGAGTAGCTCTAAAATGCGGGCCCAGATATTCGTTATTGCAAGCTAGTCCGTCTCTTTCTATTTCTTATGGCTTATAACGGGACTCTATCTGTCAATCTCTTTCCTTCCGGGCTATCCCTCTCTCTCTCTATACTCATGCTGTTATCCTTTTTATCCTTTTTATATCTATCAACTTGTTTAACGAGTAGTAGCACAATTTTTGGACGAAGATGGTTGAAATTGAAGCGTCTAAGTGAGTGTGAGTGTAAGTGTTTGCTAAACTAAATCCTCTATGGGGGGAGGGGGTATATGTTCGTATATGTGGGGGTGTAAAGCGCTCCTTAATTTACACATGGCATACATTACGATCTGGCTATATCCGTTAAATAACTATCAAAATTCTCGGCTATGGGTGCGAGTAGAAAACGAAACGCTGCAGTTACAATATCCATTTTCATTTTCATTTTCATTTTCATTTCCATTTCTCTATCCATTTCCTATCTGTCCTAGGCTTTGCACATTCTCCCGCCCTCTGTTTTCTGTTTGTTTATATAAATATATTCGGGATGGTGTTATATAGTGTGTGGGTTATATATACTATATCAAAAGAGCTGCCTGCCTCCTATCTGAATTCGAATCTTCTTTGGGTCGGTTTGAGTTGCCATGGTTTTTTTTTATATTTCTTTTTTGGTTTTTACAATAAGTATGGGTAAGCATATATGGGGGTTCCGTTACTATAGCTGCTGTACTCTCTGACTAATGTCGCCGTTCAACTAAGCTAAGGACGTTTTCGCAAAAAGGTCATTCCGTTCATATATATTTATGTATGTATATATGCATGTCCTGGCCGATGGCCCAAACTCACACACAATATTAACTATTATTACTAAGCTTTGCAAAAAGGCGTGCCATGTGTGTGTATTAGTTACCGCTTCCTCTTATTTGTCGTAGGAGTTGCTCTTAACTCGCCTCCGATCGAACTTTGCCTAGTATTACTCACAAAAAAAATCGATACACTCGTGTGTAGAATATGTTTAGCATATATGTATATATAGGTACACACGCATATACGTACATATATTTACTCTTTCGTTCACTTCCTTTCTCTATATGTATAGGTATATATACTAAATATCGTAATACCCTTGTAAGGTTGTGGTTTTTTATAGTTAACAATAATCGCCGTATGTATATTACTCTCCCCCAGGCTTAAATATATATGGGATTTTCCTGGCCAGTGAGCAGGCGGAACATGGACGTGGGCATCGTTTTCATGAGTATCTGAAATGTACGAGTTAATATCGCATTTACATAGAGCAATTCGATTTGTACCTCTCCCACTGAAGTGGCTAGCAAGTTCACGATCTTCTCGTGGGGCACAGCCACCACGCTTTGGTTGTTTATCTCGATGATGCGATGACCCACACGAACGCCTCCCCTCTCCGCAATGCCACCGCGCAACAGACTGCAAATCTGCATGGAAATTGATAGACATCGATATAAGTAATGGGTGGAGGACATCTCGTATCCCTCGTGTCAACTCACCACTCCATTTTGGACGCTGAATCCCAGCTGGTACTTGGTCTCCGGCCGCTTGATCTTCACCTCGACGACTGGGGCACATGGCACCACCGTGAACTTGACCACCGTCTGGTTCTTGGTGTTCTTGATGTACGTCTGGCAGGTGGAGAGCGGTAGACCCACGAGGCTCAGTCCATTGATGGCAATCAGCTGGTCGCCGATGTTGAGCTGCCCACATCGGGCAGCAGCGCCCGAGCTCATCAGATTTGCAATTACCACGGTGGGCAGCATCGAGCCCCAGCCGCTTTCCACGATCACCACGCCCAGAATCTCGCCCTTGGCCTTTGGAACTACCACCTCCTTTTGCAGCTCCTTCTTGGCGAAGATCTCCAGTTCGTCGCCGAAGATCTCCTGGCTATTGAGCACCTCCTGGTAGTCCATCTCCTTGACAAATCGATGATCCTCAATGCCATTCGCCTTGAGGAACTCCATGTAGGCCACCTGAAAGGCCTGGCCAATCGACTGGGCAATAAACTGCGCCTCATCGCTCTCGAACACGTGACAAATCATCTTGGGCGTGCGGTTCGGCTTGGGTGCATCATCGATGTCCTGGGGAACGAAGCGACGACGGGCCATCAGAACCACCAGATCCCCGATGTCCGCAATGTAGGAGATGGTGCGCAGGGCGTGATCCATCATGATCTCCTTGAGGTCCGTGTTCAGAACCATGATCTTCTCCGTCGATATAAACAGATCCACCTCTGTGCTGGGCTGCACATCGCCATCGGGTGCCTGAAACGTGAATGATTATGTTTGAAATTACTAATGACTGTGCTTTACAGGTTGTGAAACTGGAGAATTGGCGGGATCTCCGGGAGACAAGCTTTGATTTTGGATAACACAAGAATTACAGCGGGCCAAATGTGTTGGGTCCAATTTAATTCAAGGCAAATCAGGCAAACCAGAGGTGGGTGGTTGGGTGGTTGGGTGGGTTACAGGGAGGTATTTGCTCTAGTGTTTCCATTACTTACCAGCGCCTGTAATGCGAATTGTTTTTGATTTTTTTGATAGAGATTCGGTTTTATTTTTGTTTGATATGGCGATACGTGGTTTCGTTAGCGTGGTTGGTCATCGCGGATGCGGAGCATTTGATGTGGAGGAGGTGATGCATGAAAATATAACAGTAAACAGTTAATGAGTTCTTTTTTCTATTAGTTATGCTGGTCTCAAGTTCGGTCCTTCAATCAGCTTAGCACAAGGTCGCTTGCTGGGTGGGCTAGTGGGTGGCGGGAGGTGGTGGTGTTTGGGCAAATCAAAAATTCGAGATCGGGGGGCTCAAAAATAGCTGATAATTTTGCTTCATTAGTGCAGGGGCAACTGGGTTGGCAACTCAGGCGATTGTCACAATCTAATATTTACTTAATATGTTTTAGCCTTAAGAATTGACAAAAACACCGAAAAAGTATGTGGAATTTAAATACTATTCGAAATAGTCATGCCGCATTAAATGTTCTTAGTTTTATACTTCATATCATACGGGTTAAGCAAATATGTTACAAAATATAGGAAAAGGAATATTTCTAAGATCTGTGGCAACCTCTGATCTGGGTTTCTTTTGGTATTACAGGATTTCTACCCACTACAAACACAGAATGGATAAAGGCACAAAAGAAGCTATAGCTGATCGAAGCAATCGATCGAGTCGGGCGAGCATTATCTATCCGTAGCAATTGTCGGAGGATACTCTACCTTTATCCTGGAGACGGCTTCCTCCGCCTGCATCATTCGCGTCGACTTCGTGGGCTGACCTTCGCAGACCAGCTGCGTGGATCCCAAGTACTTGGCCCGGAAGAGAACGCCCTCGATGAGCACTGCACCGCCTGCAGTTGGTGAGAAGATGGATTACTTGGTTAGTAACTCGGTTGGGCAGGAGTCGGTAATCATAGAGTACATGTCGAGTGTTAGTTGATTAGTGTGCGTGCTTGTGTTAGCAATCTAATATCTTTGTATATTATATGTTTTCTTTTACGATTTGAAATACTTTTCTTAGACTAAACTTCTGACGTTTTACTACTCGATTAATCAATTATTCAGTACTGTACATAAAGTCTATTACAGTACAATATACAGTTTAAAGTCAGCGAAAAAGAATCACCCAAGATACAGATTTATTCCTTGTTTCGTGTGATATTGTTAGTGTTGTATCTTAGATACTATTACAAAATGGAACTTTATCTTACAAAGTATTGTACACACACACAGACACAGTAAAATGAAGAGTAGAGTTTGGTTTATTGATTTGGTTGAACGAACGAACGACGCATGCAAAAATACGCAAATAAAATGCGAAAGAATACAGAGAAATGATAGGTAAAAAATATATACGATTAATACGGATTATCTTGATCAGAAATTGGATTGCATATAAAAGGATTATCAAATTACACATTATACAATACAATTTCGCATTTACGCAGCCACGATTGAATTTTGAATTTGCTCTGCTACGCTTTCGAAATTTAGCGTTTCGTTGTTTGCGACAATTGTTTGCGACAACGATAACGACAACATCAAATGCACACCAACAACATGGCAGGCCACACGAGTATATATATAACTATATATTTATATATATGGATATACGGATATACGGATATACGGTTATTTGGTTACATAATGGAACAATCAAACGAAGGATAAACCCAACGCATTTACCTTCTTTGCTCTTACTCTTTTTCACTTTTTTCTCGCCGCTGTTGCTGTTGCTGCCGGCGCCGCTGCCGCTGCTGTTGTTGCTGTTGTTGCCGCCGCCGCCGCCGCCGCCGCTGACGTTGTTGTTGCTGGCGTTGCTGTTGGCCACCACAGCTGCATTGGCTACCGATCCAGATCCCACTCCCACTCCCGATCCTGCACCAGATCCAGCGCCCGATCCCGCGCCCAATGGCATGGCGCTGCCACCGTTAATGGCTCCAATCTCCTGCTCACCCAGCTTGACTGCTCCTCCCGGATTGGCCATTCCTGCGGCTGATCTCTCCGAGCCACCCCCGTTACCGGGACTTCCCAACGCCGGCGTACTGGCCACCACCGCTGCCGAGGTGGCCGCCACAGCAGAGGCTACCACATCCACGCCGCCCGCACACAGATCCCCACCAGAATTTGGAATTTTACTGGGCGATTTCTCACTGTGCTCCGAGGAGCTGCGCGATAAACTGCGCTGCACCATGCCGCCAACCAAGTCGAGCAGCTTGCCGCCATTTCCGGCACCCAGAGTGAGACCCAATCCCAGTCCGGACTGACCCTTTGGCGGAATCGGGGGCGGCAGTTCCGGCGTGGAGCTGAGCAGGGCATTGTAGCCGTTGCGCGTCTTTGTGCTCGGCATCTGCTGCTTGGGCGAGATCTTCGAGAGCAGCGAGCGCGGCTTGCGATCCCAGCTCTTGTTCTCATCATAGTAGCCCTGGTCGTCCAGCCTCTGGTGGCCCAACAGGCGGTCCGTCTCCAGATCGGTGTCCACGTCTTCCTCGTCGGCACTCTGATTCTTTGAGTGGTTATCCGAGCCGGATTCCAGCAGATCTTTTCCAGCGCCGCCGTCCAAGTGCCGCGATAGCCATACGGGCGAGTTGGCGCCAGGTGAAGGAGATCTATGCACTGCGGACACGAGGTTGGTTCTCTCCGGAATGGGCGGTGGCATGCCGCCGTTGGCGCTGCTGCTGCAGTTGCTGCTGGCGCTTCTGGTCTTTCCACTTCCCATTCCGTTGCCGTTTCCGTTTCCGGTCCCGATTCCATTTCCGGTTATCGTCGAGGTGGGAGAACTGCGCTGCAGCGTGGAACTAATGGCCGCCGCCAATGGAGTGTGCTTGCTGCTCGACTGCAGCAGATCAACGTCGTTGCTGCCATTGGTGTTCACTATGGCACTGGAGCAGCCGTTGTTGTTGGGCTTGCGGTGTGGCGCCGGAGCGGGCGGAGGTGGCGTCATCTGCACCGTGTCTGGACGGTGGAATACTCCTAGAAGTAAGTAAAGCAACAAGAACATATAAGATGTGAAAGTGATAGTTGTTTATTAACAGCAAAAACCGTCTTAATTTTAGTTGTGCCTCCTTCTTTGGCCAATTATGCCGCAAACCCCGTTCAAGAACTTCAGCCTTGGCACATTTCTCAATTTTTTTTAATTTTTACATCATCATAACATCAAAAATATGACAAAAAATTAAAAAAAAAATAAATTTCTAAATTTAAATGCAGATTTCTAGAGAATTGCTCCAGAAACATTTAGAGGTATGCCACTTCAAAATCCGATTAAGAAAAGTTTAGTTATGGAGTTAGGAACTTCAGCCTTGGGACATTTTTAATTTTTTGAACTTTTACATCATAACATCAAAATATGACAAAAAATTAAAAAAAAATAAATTTCTAAATTTAAATGCAGATTTATAGAGAATTGTGTCAGAAACATTTAGAGGTATGCTACTTTAAAATCTGATTAACATAAGTAGAGTTATGGAGTTAGGAACTTCGGCCTTGGGACATTTTTTAATTTTTTTGAATTTCTACATCATCAATTTCTAACATCAAAATATGACAAAAAATTAAAAAAAAAATAAATTTCTAAATTTAAATGCAGATTTCTAGAGAATTGCGCCAGAAACATTTAGAGGTATGCCACTTCAAAATCCGATTAAGATAAGTTGAGTTATGGAGTTAGGAACTTCGGCCTTGGGACATTTTTTAATTTTTTTGAATTTCTACATCATCATAACATCAAAAATATGACAAAAATTTAAAAAAAAATAAATTTTTAAATTTAAATGCAGATTGTTAGAGAATTGCGCCAGAAACATTTAGAGGTATGCCACTTCGAAATCTGATTAAGATAAGTTGAGTTATGGAGTTAGGAACTTCGGCCTTGGGACATTTTTGAATTTTTTGAATTTCTACAACATCGAACATTTGAACTTTGTATTAAATAAACCGTGGCACCCGATGTGTTGTACAATTGCGACTCCCATGTAGACAAAGGCCAACAGCTTACCAATCGAGTAGAGCGAATCCAACTCCGGATCAATGTTCTTGAACACTTTGCTGTGGTTGCTGGGGCTCTGATCTAGTGACAGTGTCTTTGGCGGCTGAGTTTGCAGCTGCTGTGGACCCTGCGACTTTGGCTGCCCATTGTTGGGACTGGCCACCAGTGTGGCCACCAGGTGGTGACCCACCACGCCGACGCCGCCATTGCTATCCGTTGTGGTGGTGGTGGTGGTCTGGTTGTTCATGCTGTTGAGGCTGTGGTTCGTCGAGATGCGTTTCATGTCCATCAGCATGGAGATGCCTCCACTGCCACCAATGCTAGTGCTGCCGCTCAAGCTGGTGGGGCACTGGCCACCCTGGTTGACCGTTGACTGCTGCAGGTTCTTCTGGTTGTTGTTGTTGTTCTCGGTGTCACTGGTGTGACCGGAGGAGAGGCCATCCTCCAGGACCGGCATGGCCGAGGCATAGAATTTTGCGTAGTTTGAGCAGGAGGTCGACACCCCGCCATTCATCTCGCCCGAGAGACCTGGAAAAGCGATAGGGCTTTGGTAAGCTTTCGGGTATTTTAAATGAAGCCACTTACTGTCCATATCGCCGCAGTTGGAATCGTAGTCGGTGGTCTCCGGCGAATAGCGGTAGTTGTGGCCTCCACCCGGGCCCACGCCAATTCCGCCGCCCACTCCCACGCCCACGCCACCACCATGTCCGCTGCCAGTGCTCAGCAGCTGGTTGTGATTAAGCCCATCCTGATCGGCATCCCGCTCGCCGCTGCTCCGACTGGTGGAGTCCAGGAAGAAGTCAAAGTCCCGAATTAGCGGACTGCCGCTGTAGTGTCGTCTCGCCCCGCTTATCGGCTGGGTGGTGAGCTGCGCCTGGGATTGCGACTGCTGTCCATAGCCACCGAAAACGAGGCGCTCGGAGGCGATGTGGCCGGATGTGTGAGGCGCCTGTGGGCGGTAGTTCTGCTCACGATCCTGGTCCAGCGGCTCGTCCTCATCCTCGGCCTCATCGTTCTCCTCGTCGGCATCGTCGTCGGCCTCCTCGTCGTCCTCGGCTTCTTCCTCCTCGGCCAAGTCCTCCTCGTCGCGGTCAAAGTTGCTGTGGAACTCGTACTGGATATCCTTGAAAAGCATACATTCAAGATTAGTAAGCAAACGCAAAAATAGTTCTATGAAATTCTATAACCGCATGAAACAATCATCTCTTTTCTACTCACAATGCTGTCCACATCGCTGCCATTTTCCATGATGGGCTGCTCGTCGGTGGAGGGGCACTTAAAGAACTCCTCCAGCACCTTGCGCGTCTCCGAGAACTCATAGAGGTAATCGAAGGTCGAGGACTTGGTGTGCAGGCTCAGGGGAGCCAATCCGCTGCCCGTGGCTGTTGCATTTCCGTTTGCTGTTCCGTTTCCGTTTCCGGTTCCGGTTCCGTTGGCAGTGCTGCTCGCCAGTGCTGCTGTCGGTGGTGCTGGCGCCGCTTGCGGTGGAGTGCCCGCCCGGCTGGACATCTCGCCTCCAGCGAAGCCAATGGACAGACCCACTGCCTCCGGAGTGGTTAGGTCGGATATGGTGCCAATCTCGGACACATCGTTGCTGGTGTCCTCCGCATTGTTGTCGCTGCACGGCGGCTGTTTGTTGGTGTTGGAGTTACTGTGACTGCTCATCAGACTGGCAAAGTGCTGCTGCTGCTGCTGTTGCTGCTGCTGCTGCTGCTGCTGCTGATACTGCTGCTGCTGCAGGGGAGGGGAGCTGCTGCGTGGCTCACGACTGGGCGGCGAGATGATGCGCTGCAGTAAGTAAATAATTTATAAATACCATAAATATGAAAATGATTTCAGACAAGGCTGGCACCCACCTGCGGAAATCCAGGACGCACTGGATAGTTTTGGATGGACTGCTGCGCCGCGTGCATCTGGCCGGGATTCACTGGATTGGGTGGCGAATGCGGGAGCAGGGAGCTGAGTATGTTGTGGGAGTTGTGTGGATGGCTCTGGGCCAGAGCAGCTAGTGCTGCACGGGCGGCCGTTTTCTGGAGCGTGGTGGCCGTGGAGCTGGAACTCAGCGGTGGTACGGTGGCCATGGGCACCTGCTGCTGTGGTTGCGGGGCTGCTGCTGCTGCTGCTGCTGCTACTGGTGCTGCAGCTTCTGCCGCTGCTGGTGGTTCGCTTTCGTCCGCTGCCGCTGATGCAGCCGCCGCTCCGGTTGCACCCAAATTATTGGTGGTCACTCCAATGCGTCTGGGCGAGCCCTCGTACTCTGCGGATAAAAGCGATTAAAGCACGAGTTCAAGTGCATCCAGCTGTTCGGTATCGAACTCAAAAAAAAGATAAATCAATGGACTATACGAATTCCCGGTAAAAAATATACTTCCCACCCACTGGGATTTGCACAATTTTTTATATCCACGCAGGTAGATTTTACATATGGCACCGAATTTGCACTTTTAATACTTTTTTTTGAAGCAGGAGGTCGCAAAAATTTGCAGCCCTTTTTCTGTAGCGCTCAAGTGCCTTCAGTTTGGATTTAGCAAAGTGACAGGTAAATTGACAGACAGACATTAAAGCATTGTAAAATAGTTCGACTATCAAAAGTGATCAATATTTATGGCGAGACCCTATGCTCAGCTAGTAATTGGGAGGATTTGGAGGATTTTTTAAGTAAATATAGTAATAATGTAGGCAATGTACCAATGATGCCGTGACGCGACTCCACGGCCAGCGTGTAGTTGCGCTCCAGCTTCCAGGCGTCCAGCTTGTGCTCCCTGTAGACATTGACCTCCGGATTCTGGCTTGGGTTCGGGTTGTGCATCTGGTGCTGGGCCTTGTCCGCCGGCTTGCCGCCGGATTTGCCGCCCTCCTCCGCCAAAGTTTCGGTCGTGACGCGCAGATCTGAATGATGAGAGATGGGGAGAAACAGAGCACGGATGAGGGCCAGTGGCAATGACAAGGGTTGGCATCAAGGTTTCGGGCTATTGCTTGGCATGCCAATTAATTGCAATCAATTAAATTCCACTTTGGCGCGCTTCCCGTCGCTTTGTTCGCCGCCACAATTCACCATTTCCCCATGTTCCCATGTTCCCATGCTCCCAGCAATGGCGGAATTGCTCTTCCGGAATTCACCCGCTGTGGTGTTTTGGTCCGTTCAAACATATTTGCAGTACACTTCATTACGCATGATTTGCAATTCAATTACCCGGCCCATGTCTATCAGTCCGGCATGCAGCCAGTCAGAAATTGGTTACGTAAAACGCTAAGCGAATTAGGGAGGCGGCGGCCCTTCTTGCCGCAAATTGCTGCAGGCACGTGCAACCGCAGCGCTAAGTAGCAACAAATATAAATAAAGGCTTCTGTGCCCCCAGAATGCAACTCAATAATACAAATTGTTCGTTAGTCCGCCTATAAATTCAAATCAAAATGCATTCCTCTAAATGACCTTTTTCTGCAGCACTAATTTGTATTTTAACTTGTATGCTGAGGTACTTAAGATTTGGGTTCCACTTACGCTGCCAGCTTTCGTTGGGATCTGCATTTCCATTGACCAGGCGATGGTCGCGCTCCATGTCCCGCTCCCGCTCCCGCTCCTCGCCGTAAGCGTGTCGCTTCCGCTGCTGCTGCTGCTGTTGCTGCTGCTGACCCGCCAAATGGCTGAGGTGGTTCTCTCTGGCCGCCTGCACTTCCTGGAGCTGCAGCTGCTGCTGTTGCTCCAGCAACAGGTGTTCTCTCTCCCGCTCCCGTTCTCGTTCGCGTTCCCTTTCCCTCTCTCGTTCCCGCTCCTCGCGCAGCCTCAGTTTGCGCTGCTCCCGCGGCTCCCAGTCGCCGGGATGCTGATCCAAGGATGACTTGCTGCCATATAGATAGTGACTGGCCAGCGGAGTCAGCCCGTCCGCACAGGGATTGCTCCTGGCAGTTGGAATCTGCTGCAGTTGCTGCTGCAGCTGCTGCTGCTGTTGCTGTTGCTGTGGCTGCTGCTGTGGCTGCTGCTGCTGCTGTTGCTGCTGCTGTTGTGGAAAGCTGCGGTTAACTGGACTCCGACCCACCCGCAATATGTGCTGCTGCTGCTGCTGTTGCTGCGGCCGCTGATTGATGCCGTAGACCTGCTCCCGCTGCTGGTGGTAAGCTCGTCTGGCTGAGGCATGCATATGCTGCTGCTGTTGCTGCTGCTGCTGCTGCTGCTGTTGCTGCTGCTGTTGCTGCTGCTGTGGCTCCTCGGAATACTCCGTGGGCGAGTGGAGCAGCAAACTCGCGCGTGTCGGCGGTGCCTCCCAGTAGTTCTCCTTAATGAAAGGATTCTGGCTCCCGTTGCCGTTGTGCAACTGCTGCTGCTGCTGCTGCCTGTTGCTGGCGGGCAACGCACTGTTGCGCTTTCGCGGCATCTCCGTGTAGCCGCCGGGCCCACGCCTACTGTCGCTCACCGTGTGGTAGTAGAACGAGGCGGGATACTCGAGCACCTCGCCAGTCGCTCCGCTCCTGCTTCTGCTGCGCTCCACAACTGACTCGCCCGTGGTGTCCTGCTGCTGTTGCTCCTGCTGCTGCTGCTGCTGCTGGTGCTGCTGGTGCTGATGGTGGTGGTGCGGTGGTGTCGGCGGCGTGAGTGGTGCACACAGAAAGGGATTCGTGGAAATGCGAGGCGTCACCGAGGACAGCGATTCGGAGGAGTGAGAGGATGCTGAGTGCGGCGGCGGCGATTGCGTAATAATGTTCACGCTCTTGTAGTAGCTGGGCGTGCTGGTGGGCGTGGCCTTGGGCGGCGGCGGACTAACACTGGCGCTGGCCAATGGCTCCCCAGCCACTCCCGCGGACGTGGGGCTGCTGCTCCGGTTGCTGTTGCTGTTGCAGCTGGGATTCACGTCTGTGGGGAGGACATGTTGCTGCTGCTGCTGTTGTGCTGGCTGAAGTTGCTGCTGCGAGTGCTGCTGCTGCTGCGAGTGCTGCTGCTGCTTGGGTCGGCACTTGGGGAATAGCAAGCTGATCTGATCGTTGAGCGGTGGCGATGGCGACAGCAGAGCCTGCGAGAGGATCAACGGCGGTTGCTGCTGCTGCTGCTGCTGGTGCTGCTGGTAGCCAATGTTGTGGCTGCTGCTGCTGCTGTTCGTGTTGCTGGTGTCGCAGTCAAGCTCCAAGCTGCCGTTCAGTGCGTAGTAGCCGCGTTGCTGGTAGGGCAGCTGCTGATGCGGCTGCTGCTGCGACTGGTCCTGCTGCTGATGCTGCTGCTGCTGCTGCTGCTGCTGCTGGTGGCTGTGATGGTGGTGGTGATGGTGATTACTGCTACTAGTTGTTTGTCCAGCAGCCAGTGTTGTCAATGTTGTGCTGACCATTATTGTTGCCAATAAACTGCAAGCAAACAGGAGGAACATTAGAATAATATCAGCATGGAATAGCTCCTCTTAAACAGGAGCACAAGTATACAGAGTCCGCCAAGGCTCACGTCCTGCTGGCAGTTGTTTTAATAAATGCAGGCACAATGTCAACCTTTGTCATGTCCAAGTGGCAACAGGGCATGACAGTAACGAGTTCTGCCGCCGTCGCAGTTGCTCCTCGATTCGTTCGGGTCACGTTTTTGAGGAGGGGAGTGGCCAGTGGAATGGTTGGGGGAAAACAAAAACAAATGGCCGCCATAAGACGGGCAAATATTTAATTGTCCGCCGCCTCACACAAAAGTGAAATTCGAAATGCCAAATGTGAAACACTCGTGCAGCAGCCAATCAACGTCATTGAGCGATTGCCGTCGGTTTGTTGAATTTAACATTTAAAATTTAAAATTTAAATTCAAAATACCCGCATGCGACGGCCGGGCGTTTAAGTTGGATTCAATTTGCATTTGCTACGAGCTTTTTGTCATGTGGCATGCAAATGAGCCGCACTGCTGCCTTTTTCGGCACTGGGCAGCATGTGGAACTTGGTAGAAAAAAAGGACAGTAATATGTTTAACTTTACCATTTTTTTCGCATGCGATACATGCAAATACCCGAAAGTCTGGCGCAGAGTGGAAAAATCAATTGAATAGCAGTTTTTTATCTGATTTATTTGGCAGCTCACAAAAGTGGCTAAACTTGGTTTTTCAACTGAAATTGAAAGTGGTATAAGTTACTTTCGATTAATTAATAACATTTACATGTCGTACTGCTAGCCACAGTTTCCTGCGTTTGAGTCGCGTGTTGCCCCAAAAAGTTGCCTCTTAAACCACTTTAAGCCGCAGAGCACATGCTCGTATATCCCTTTTTGGAATCTCAACCACCCACTTTCGCATTCCATGGCCACACAAAACTCCACCCACAAGTTATGCTAATGCGTGCGGTGTGTGCGGGATGTGTGTGAGTGTGTGTGCGAGTGTGAGTGTGTGTGTTTGAGTGTGTTTGTGCCTGGGGCCTAAAATATTTTCCCAACAATCAAACTAAAAATTTTGAAAAGGATTAACAACAACAGCAGTAGCAGCAGGAGCCACAAGCGAAACGAGAAAAAAGTCAGAGAAGCGTAGAAATGCACGCAGAGAAAACGGGCTTACTTTGTGATAATGTAATTTTTTGCTTGTCTAAATATATCTAATGTCTTTATGTTTACATTTCACAGTAATATTTGAGACCACCTTTCCCCCACTAATTATTATATGTGGCGGTTACTCTTCTTTCGCTCCGTGTAGCAATCTCACGTACAAGTGGGGATAACCGAAGCGAGCAGCGAGATATGTAAGCCGGATCCTGTTGGTCCTGCTGCTGCTGCTGCTGCTGCTGCTGCTGCGGCTGCTGCTGTGCGTCTCGCATCGCTTTGTGCACTCGCATGGAAAATATGCTTTCGTTTTCTGGAATACCACACACAGCCGGGGAGCTGGCAAAAAGGTGGGGGGCAGGAGTCGGGGGCAGCGGAGCTGTGGGTTTGCATGGCGCCCAAGACGAAACGGGGGTCCTTTATAGCCGAAATCTACACAACGGCTAACATGGCATAACAGCAGCAACGACAGCAAGAGTCGCATCCGGATGGAGGAGGACCATGGCCATATTCCTCCACTTGCCATCCCGAAACTCAGAGGATGAGGGCCAGAGCAACATTTTCTTTAAGGCTTCACATGACACGCACACGGCTAGATGGGCAAACATTTTCATTGCCGCCCAGTGGGTGGCAGCAGTGGGTTCGAGATGGTCTTCCATCGGAGGAGTTGGCGACAATAAAACGTGGACTGTCCATTTGGCCTGCCTTTGGGCAATCAGAACTCAGAAATTCGGGCTCGCGAAGGATTTATTTGCTTGAATTTATTTATTTCAATTGCTTAAATGTTACAAAGGTGGGGCATAAGAATGCAAAGTTGTGAAACAACGCAAAGCAAGTTGACCACGGTGAGTTGACTGTCCTTGCAACACGTGCACTGGGTGCTCAGCCTCGTTCCGAGCACCTTTTCCATGTCCATGTCCATGTCATGTTTGGTGCTTTTTCCGTTCGGGTCCTGAAATTTGATGCATTGGATGTGCTTAGGCGGACTATGACAGCCTGTGAAGCGATTGCGATTGGCACTCCTTTGATTTATTGGGTGCTTTGTCCTTTGGATGTCGGCAGGATCACAGGAGCTGGCCTAATCCTCTGGACACGAAGCCCACAAGATCTCCATATTTGTCTTAAACATTAAGGAACTAACTTGGTGTATAAAGAAATGCAGTTCGGAGTGAGCACCTATGAAACCTTATTATTATATACACAAGTTTAGCTGAGACTTGCAAGTTGGAGAACTAAAGTAGTGCATAATTATGCTGCAAATTGTTGTATACTCGATATTCTACGGCTCCTTGTGGCTCGTGTTCCCCCGCCTCTGCCTTCAGGTGATGTTAAGTGCGGGCCATAAAAATTTCATAAATTCCTCAGCTGGCTCAGCACACAGACAGGCATGCACATCCTCATCCTCGCAGCCACGGCTTGCTGTATCCCGCATCCTGTCCTGGTTCTAGACCTGGCACAGCTGCATAATTAAGTTGCCAGGACGAGGACGTGGACGTGGACGTGGACGTGGGCGCGTCCTTGGAGTTTTATTAACTTAATGTCTGCTTAAGCGATGCGTCGCTTGCCACTCTTTAAATATTTAAAATTAATTCAAGCCCACTCCCGCGACCGGTGGCGCAATGAATCAAAATCAAAATCAATTGCCGGTGCCCACAGTTTGCCACCGATGTTGACGTGGAGCAGCATGGTGTTGGGTGCTGGCTGGCTCCTGCTGGATGGGTTGCTGCTCTAATGCGGTCCTGGGGCCTGATGCCGTCATTACGGCCACATTGCGGCAGGACACCAGGCAGGACACCAGGCAGGACACCAGGCAGGCAACGACGTGGGCAACGGGTTAGATGCAATTACCTCCGCCTCCGCCTATGATGGCATTAATTATGCAAAACAACTAACGCTGCCGCAGCCACGGGCTAATGTGTGGCAGTGGGTGGGTCCGGACTCCGGAGCACAGCAGTCCCACTGAGTCCCTCTCTCTGTGTGTGTGTGTGCGTGTGTGGGGTGCAAAAGAAAGACTTTCGCCGACTTCCTGGCGATTGCATGTGCAGCAGTGCAGCGCTGGCCGTAAATGAAACATGCAATTTATTTTAACCCAAATCGTTGCCTGTTCTGCTGCAGCCCGTTATGCAATTACTGCTTGGCATATTCCCTTTGGGGCGATAAGTACGGCTTTGTCTGGCGATTGAGTGTTCAGTTCAGCTCACGAATAGCCAAACGAATACCCCTTCTGGAAAAAGAACAGAACCCTCCGTTCTGTTTTCACTTTTCCCATTTTCCGCAGCTGACTGTTTCGACCGTCCGCGTAGCTTAGTTAATATTTGGCAGATTTTCGCCTAGCTGTGCAATTAAGCCCGACTTTCGTAGGCGGGGTGCTCGTGGATTAATTTAATTATGGTTAGCTCTCGTGTGGGTGAAATTGTCGCTAAGCGGATTGGAGTGCAGTGCATGAAAAATGCTGCAATTTGGGTTAAAAACCATTTTGGCTGAGAAAAAAAACAAAGTGGGCGATGGGGATGGTGATGGTGATAAAATGCCGCATGACAAAGGCACGGAAAACGCTAAAGCGCAGAGAGAAGAGTGTAATGAAAAGTGAAAGTGACTAAGATGTTTTTCCCAAGCTCTTGATGACGTGGGCGAGTAGTAGTAATGTTGACAAAGCCAACAACAGCAATAATGGCGGAATTGTAACGTTTTCCCCAAATGAAAATGGCAGCACGCGAAAATGGCGAGGAACTGACATTTAGGGCGCCAGCCGGAATAGCCGGGGAAAGTTGGAAAATGCCAAAAAAAAATATATATACATATATAGAAGAGCGGACAACGTGGAAGCGCAGAGTAAAACGATGACGAAGACGGGGAACAGGCGAAAACAAACATGACGAACAGAACAACAGGCGGTGGCAAACAATACAAAACCAGGGGGTTGCCACCAAAGTAGTCTCCAGGGAAATGAAATGGCAAAGCGGATCCCAAATCCTCAAAGAAATCCGCAAAGAAATATCGAAAAACCAGGGAAAAATAATTACAAGTTTTAAGTGAAGGGAGGCGCAAGCAATAAATGGGATTATCTTGCAGAAAACAATGCATTTATGATGTTGCAAGCCACAACTGAAAAGTTGCGTACATTTGTTGCGCAGAGAAAACCCAATTAAGAAAATGGTCCTAAATCAATTAACACCCTCGTACGGTAGCTTAAGTGAGCTAAAGGTATTTAAGCCCAACTGGCTTTATTTACTGAGCAAATACTTAGAGGAAATGGCCTAAATCTGTGCTCAAACGGGTCAAAGACCTGCGCTCGAAAATCCAAAACTTCTCAAGCCACCCACCCTGGAAAAAAAACACACAAATCAAATTTGTTGTAAGGCTCGTAATACCCGAGGGTTGACTGACTGCCTGATATGTATTCGACTAACTGACTAAATGACTGACTGGCTCAAAAGGTGAGTGTATGTATGTCTAAGAAATGGGGGGCTTTGGGTGGAGGGGTGGCATTGTCGCCGGTGGCAAGTGTGTTGCTTACGAGCCTAAAGGCTCCATTAATAAAATGAGTTGAGCATAAATTTCAACTGGCAGCCTGGGAAGACATTTCAAGGGTCCTAATCGATTGAAAAGTGAATACTCCTCCATGGAGTACCCTCACTACAATCCAAACACCTCTAAGCTGCTTACGAAGTCCCATCATCCGATTTATGCTCCACGTCTCCTAAATGGATCGTAAAACTTAGCTCTCCTCTCGATGCTAATATTATTTTGCCAATTTTTCGTCCCGTTCGTGTTTGGCTGGCGATAAAGTGTTTTGGCTATCACCTGAACTGCACAGAGCCACCTGGCTGGCCATTTGGGAGGCCCCC